TAATGGAAAAGGATGAATAGGAAACCAAATGAGATGAGATTAAGGCCAAATGAATCAGGATAAAAGGAGGAATGAAATAGAAAAGAAATATGGAAAGGGGAAAATAGTGTAACAGGGTCGTACTCTCACACTTCCCCCCCTCAAAGCTAGGTGGTAGAAGTAACACCCTGCTTGACAAGGTACTCGCGAAGAGGACGACGGGCGTTACCCATGTCGGATTCAGAGACACAGCCTCAGTATCAGAACCCTTCCAGCAAAGAAGAAGCTCCAGAGTGCCATTCTGACGACGACGGTGTCCAAGCACGTAGGTATGGAAGGCGGTATGGATCTTCCAAGTGGCTGGTAGGTGGAAGCGGAAGGTGAATGAAGTGACCGTTGCTTCAAAGAGGAAAGGCCCGTTGAAGCGAGGTCGCAGTTTGGATGGGAGATGGCCGATATCAAGATTGCGCGTGTCGAGCAGTACTCGATCTCCCACGATGATGGTGCAGTCTGTGCGGTGGCGATCGGCCTGGCCCTTCTGTTGTTGCTGAATGTCGAGAAGGCGCTTGTGGGTCCGATCCCAAAGTTTGTGCATGGTCGTGATGAAATCATGAGCTGGTTGGACTGTGGCTGGTATGGTTAGCTATTGTGGTGTGATCGGGTGGCGTCCGTAATAGAGGAAGTACGGCGTCTGTCCAGTAGCGGCGTCAGTAGCATTCTTGTAGGCAAACTCCAGGACGGGCAGATGCAAGTCGAAATTGGAGATGTGAATGGTTGGAACAGTGTGCTGTAACGTGCAGATGAGTGGCTATGTTGTCCGATCTGTGCATGCTGTTACCCGCATCTGGTCCACGTGTGAAGATCACCAAGTGTTGGTGGTATGGCAGTCATGTCATAGTGCAGCTGCTGTCGAGCTGGTCCATGCCTTAGTGTTGCCGCGAGTCGTACCCACTCGGCATCGTAGTGCTGCGGGATGGAGAGCAAAATCACTAGTAGTAACCCTGTCCACCACGCGGTCTGCTAGTCACACTGCCTTGAGTACAACAGCGCATGCGAAGTGCTGCTCAGCGTATCCCTTGTGTTCAGAACCATGCGACGGGCTGGTACCACAAACGCGGAGCTGGTAACTTCCAGAATCGGCGCCAAAGTAGTTTCCCTCGGTGGTTGCTCAAGCAATGAATCTCTGCTGCATAGATATCCCACGGAGATGGGTTAGGACATCTGGGAATGTTATGGGTACTCCCAAGTAATCCTTTCCCACTTCCAAATGGGCATTGGTGACAGCCAATCCAGTATAACCTTATGCACGTCCAGTTTAGCACGGAGGCCATCGGTATGCATCGGTGTTTGGGCGCACATATTGGGATAGGTCTTCAGGTGCCATCATGTGTTGTCTCATTTTGTTACTGTCCATGAAGTAGCGTTGATGTTGAAGACGTCTCAGCTACTCAACATCAGTGTTGAAGTCTGCTCCATTTCGGCAAATAGGGGTGTTGTTTAAGATTCGCGGAGTCCACTGTCCGGAGTGGCGTGGGCGCTCCATTTTACGCCTATCTGCTTCCGTGGAGGTGGTGCTGGTGATGGATTGGTTGCGACGCAGGTTTTATGACTTTAAGGAAAGCCATAGGTCATGAGGACTTGTATACCGGTAAAGTACAGTAGTCCTCCCATCTTCATAAGAGCAAATATCTGCTGCTCTTGAGGGTATATGGCATTGCCATGTTGTTCCCTCGCATAGTGGTATCTCCTTCCCACTAGCTGGAAATCATAGTTGTGCCTGACCAGGACTTTACAATCCACTGGAATATAATCCAGCATTATCTCCATTGAACGGAGAATCATCCATCAGGGTTTGGATATGACTGTTGTGTCGAGTCTTCTGCTGCGGTGACGGCGGCGGTTGCGACGACGGCGACGGCGACAGCTGCTGCAGAGAATTCTCTTAATTCGTAATGGTTGAAGGAGAATCCATCAAATCCCTCATCCCAACAGAGTTTTCCTGATGGGTGTAATAGGCGTAACTACCAGGAACACGTGCACATTAGTACACATGGGCTGCTCCATTGCTGCCGGTGATTGTTTCATTTGAGGGTATGAAGAGAAATTTGCTTCTCCCCTCAATGTATCCACGGGTAGCAATTCCTGGTATGCTCATCCGTGCCTCCGATGTACGGTCGGTAGAGCGCGTGATCGTGTTGTAGTAGTCCGCATCTCCCTCGTTTGTTGACACCTCGTGTTGCTTGGCGTTCTCCTGCATCGTCGAAGTTACGCTGGTGCTTGTAACGCTTCGGCTTCTAGTAGAATCGCCTCCAATGCATGTGCCGTAGGGTCGCTAGTGAACGAATACTTGCCGGATTAGAGGTTAATTACTCCTCAATTTGTCAAGCATCGTGACATGCACGGAAAATTTTCCACGCAGGTCATTAACACATGGAATCACGACGCATGATTGGTGTGTCGCCTCGTGAGGTTGATGTTGAGACTGCTCCAATCAATCACTTCGGATGGCTAAGATTCTTGATGAAGACGAATCGGTCAGCTCCTGTTACAAATAGTGTCTCGCTGGCCTTGACGAGACGGGTTCACTGCGTTGTCGTTGCGTGCGAAATCTGCTCCTTCGCAGCAACTTGATGTCGGGAATATTGCAAGAGAAAACGGCTACTTCTCTGCAATCCCATAGGCTGTCGATCAAATTTATGAGATGAAGTGTCTCATGGATGGAGAATATGTCTTCACGCAGCTCCATAGTTTTTCCTGGGTGAAGATCCGCTATGTTGATGTCGATCCATTTTTTAACGAATATGACTTCGTCAAAATAACTATATCGTTGTGGACACTAGTTAGAAGATGCTTAGATTGTGCAGTCTCTGGTCACGAATGTTGTCTCCACGATGATTTCCCATAGTGTAGTCTCCGCTGCATTCGTGCCGTTGCTTTCACAACGATCCGACGATCCACGTTCTCCTGTCAGTTTTCTGCTTGCAGTTATTACCAAGTAGGTAATACTGTGGCAGATTTCTGACTCTGCAGATGATTTTGCGCCCCAAATTCGTGACCAAATGGAGGAATCCGAATTACATTGTCCAGACGGTGTGAGCGATGTCGAAGGCGGCTGATTTCTGGTTCTGCGCGTCATTCTTCCTTTTTAGCAGAAGTCACGCTCCATCTCGTCCGTTGAAGTAGAAGTCAATCCGACGGTCCAAACTCCAAACAATCTGAAGATCTTCCTGAGTCGCGTTCAGCAGCTTTCGGTTCATGGGTTGACTCGTTTCCTGAAGCAATTCTCGGTCGTCGATGTCGGCTGTCGAACGATCGGACGCTCCGAAGAATTTCGCAGCTTGCGAGGTCCCGTTCCCGCTCGCGCTGAAACTCGATCTCGCTCAGAAGGATTTCGTTTTCGCCTCGGTCGATCTGAAGCGTCGAATCCCCATCGGACGGATTTCGTCGGTCGCAGCTCCGCACATTTCCGCGCAACTCCAAGTGTCGTCACGAACTGCGAACTCCTCGGAATGTCGCAGGGAGTGTTCCGCCAGAAGTGACGCGTTCGCGAGGTCGAGGCCGTCTGCCCCCGGGAAAATAGGCACCGTCGATGCAGTCCATCGAACGGTTGGCGAGGCATCTCGCCTTGAAAGGGGACCCCAGGTGCAACTGCGCGAGGCTAGTCGAAACTTAAATGAAAGTGCATTGTACTTACAGGAATTGAAGTTTCGACTCCATCCTCGGCGTGCTCCTGGGGGCCCAGCGGTTAAGCATTGAGCTGAAACCTTGGCTCTGATTACCAAGTGTCACAGGATCGAATGAGGTTTGCTCAATGTTGCCCTATCCATGAGTACAAGGGGCTTTTATACTTCCAGATTACATCAAGTAACCAGGTTTATCCTATCCAAAGGGAATAGAAATAGGATCACCATGCGTATAGCCACGCAAGGCTATTGGTTTTAAGGGGTTACGGCAGGATTACGCTAGATATAGCGAGCTAATACATCCCGAGCCTGGTCGGTGATATAACTATAATAATAGGATAAACCAAAGGATAATACAAAAGGATGAATAGGAAACCAAATGAGATGAGATAAAGACCAAATGAATCAGTATAAAAGGAGGAATGAAATGGAAAAGAAATATGGAAAGGGGAAAATAGTGTAACGGGGTCGTACTCTCACAAGAGGAGATTGAGATTCCAGGAGAGGTCGGGACACCAAGCAAACTTCTTGCAGACGAGGCTGTCAACCTCGACATATGGGTCGACGTCAACACTTGTTCTTCTTGGAGAAGGGGAAACTGAATCATATCTGGACCAGAGCAGAGAAGCGGCGGGTAAAAGCTAGGGGAAAGACCTATGTGATAAGGGAGTAAGATCTACAACATCACCAAAGAGTCTGACCCGTGTGTCCCAGATGTACCCCCAAGGTCACTTGTAGGTTCCGTTTGGGACATGCGCGTCAGGACACATACAGGATCTACGGTGGGTCAGGTTTAGGTAAAAAAAAACAGGATACACGAGGGCCACTTGAGGGTTAGCTGTGGGGCAAGCATAGGCCATGGGAAGGACTATCGCGGGCCATCTACAAGTAAGTTGAGGGACATCTATGGGACAAAAACACCACAGTATATCCTCTGTATAGACTGGTCCTTTCTACGGTTGTTCATAAGCGTAGTGTACCGTACATAATGCACAATAATAATAAAGCATACAAGTGGTTTCATAGAGATGACATGTACTCCATTACTGTTGGGCTGAGAAAATGCCCTTAGGATCTTGTTAGGATTAAGGACAGAGTCTAGGTGAACTTAGGAGCTAGAATTACTCCAAATATAAATCCGAAATTCTGGACAGAAAAGTCGTCTTTACAAGAAACGACGTCGACAAAACACTAGCCGTTGGAATGTCGCGAAACTTGGATATGTTGTAGCTCTTGATCTCAGCTACCGTTCCCAATTTGAATCACGTTGATTGATGAAGTATTCGCGACGCTATGGCTTTCGACGCACTAGGGGGTAAGCTGTAGGAGGAGAACTTAACTCAATCTCAAGAGTTCAATCAAAGTTCAAGAATCTCACAAGGAATTTAGAGGAGCAAGAGAAAGGTTGGGATAGAAGAGAGGGATGAGAGGGAAGGTCCCAAGAGAGTCCCCAACCAAGGAAACCCCATAAGCACAAAGATTCCCTCCCTATAGGAACCCCAACTTTGACATTTGTCCCTTCCCAACCAATCCATCCAAGTTGGCCACCCTTGCCAACCTAGCTTGGTTGTTCCCAACCAATTTGCAGCTGTTACAGTAGAGTGACGAATTTCCCCAACCCCAAAGGTCCCAACTCCATATAAAGTCACCCCACAACTTCACTTTGTAACCGCCGCAATTGTAACGCAAGCTCATGAACTTTGAATCTTCATAGCTTTCGCGTTCTTGCTCCGATTGACGCGATTCTTGTTGCGTCGGAAAGATCTTCTCAAGATCTATCATCACAAATACCTGCTCAGACAGAATAACACAAAACACATTCCCAAACTCCAGAACACACACCACACAAATTCTTTCACACACAGTCAAACCATACGTGCGAATTGAAACAAGGGATGGGAGGCAGACAGAATGTGATAACATATGATGACATCACACAACAATCTCCCCCTCTGGCTGCCAACCATCAACCACCATACCAACATCTCAAGCATGCATACTCAATGCACACTCATCCCAGCAAGCTTCATGCCCTTCCAATGATCCGCCTCCGCCAGACGCTTGGTGAAAATATCTGCTGCCTGCTGATGGGTCTTCACTATCTCCAGCCGCACCTCCTTATCAAGGAGTCTCCTCACCCAGTGCCACTTAGGCCTTATGTGTTTTGTCAGCCCATGCAAACAAGCATTCTTGGCGAGCTTCACAGCAGACTCATTGTCACAGAACACAACTGTCGGCTCCTCCTGACCAACTCCCAACTCCTCCAACAAACGCCTTAGCCACACTACTTCCTTGGCCCCATGGTGTAAGGCCATGTACTCAGTCTCACATGAGGACAATCCCACCTCATTCTGCTTCTTGCTGCGCCAGCTCACAGCACCACCTCCTAGCAAGCACACATAACCCCCAATGCTGGTGCCATCCGCTTTCACTGAGTTGAAGCTAGCGTCAGTATAGCAACTCAAGAGCATCTCACCACTCTTCACATCTGCAGCACCTCTCTGCAACCGCTGCCTCACTCCACTGTACTCCAATCCCACTGATGCCGTAGCACTCACATAGCGGACCAACCTCTTGGCCGCTTCCAGCTGCTCATGACTAGGGCGTGAGACCACACTAGCCAACCGTGATGTAGAAAATGCAATGTCAGGCCGTGTATGATTTGCAGCATAATTCAGCGACCCAACCATCGAATGAAACAGCTTCCTGTCACTCTCACCCACTACCTCCTCATCAGCACATGGCTCCACAGTAAACCCTGAAGGTAGTGGTGTTGCTGGCTTTCCCCCATCTTGCAGCCCATACTTCTCAGCCAGCCCCTCACAGTACTTCCTCTGGTGCAACCTCAGCACACCCTTCTCCACATCTCTCTCCACATGCATCCCCAAGTAGTACTTCACCTCACCCATCTTGGAACACTTGAACTGCATCTCTAGCATCTGCTCTGCGCTGTCCAGCAAAGCAGTTGATGCAGAAAAGAGAAGGATATCATCCACGTACACCAAGAGCATGAGGATTTCATCCTTCTCCTGCAGCAGGAACAGGCTGGGGTCACACTCACTCTTCTTGAAACCCCCAGCCAGCAGCGCCTCCTCCAACTTGTGATACCATGCACGAGGCGCCTGCTTAAGGCCATAGATGGCCTTCTTCAGCCTGCAGACCCTGCCGCTCCCATCATCCAGCCCCTCTGGCTGCTTCATATACACCTCCTCCAGAATGATCCCATTCAGAAAGGCAGTCACAATGTCCATCTGCCGTATCTTCCATCCCAGGAGTGCAGCTATCGCCAACAGCACCCTCAGTGTTGTTCCTTTCCCCACAGGAGCAAACACCTCATCATAGTCCTTCCCCTTTGTCTGCTGAAACCCCCGTGCCACAAGCCTAGACTTGTAGCGGGTCAGCTCCCCTTCAGGTCCATACTTGTGCCTGTAGATCATCTTGGAAGTGATTGCCTTCTTTCCAGGAGGCAAGTCACACAGGTCCCATGTCTCGTTCTCAATTAGGGACCCGAACTCCTCATCCTCACTCGCCTTCCACTTCTCCCCATTTGGTCCATTCAAGGCCTCTTCTCGAGTCTTGGGCTCAGGGATTGGTGCCCAGTAGCAGTGAGCGATCTCATCTTCCTCAATCTGCTCAACCACACTCCCAGCCTGCACCACATTTGGCTTGCCTCTTCCCCCATAGGTCAGCCTCACTGGAGGGCGCACATCCCTCCTAGGACGCTCAGGCGGGTGTGGAACTCGAGGTGGAGACTCATGCTGCTGCTGCTGCTGCTCTACTTCAGCTGCTCCCCCTTCCTCAGTCACCCCAGACATCTCCTCCTCTGACACTGCAACCTCCACCTGTCTTGAAGGGTGCTGCACCTCATCTGCCTCCACAATGAGCGGTGTAGATGGAAGCTTCTGTTGCTGCTGCTTCCATTCCTTGTAGTACAGGGACTCAAGAAACTTCACATCCCTTGACACTGTCAACTTCTGGGTGGTCAAGTCCCATAGCAGCCACCCCTTGTGATCCTTTGCAATCCCCAAGTGCACACCCCATCTTCCAGAAGCCTCCAACTTCCCCCTTTTCTCCTTAGGCACATGAAACACCACCATGCACCCAAATGCCCTCAGCATGTTCACAGTTGGAGCACTCCCATACCACTTGACATATGGGATCCACTCCTTATCTCCAACTGTAGCCAGCACCCTGTTCTTCACAAGGGCGACCTGCCTCAGTGCAGACACCCAAAACGGATCAGGCAGCCCTGCACGCCCAAGGAGAGTGCGTGCCCCCTCCTGCAGGGTCCTGTTGAACCTCTCAGCCACGCCATTCTGCTGCGGGTTGTAGGGCACTGTCAGTTGATGCTGGATCCCCTTCCTCTTCAACTCCCCCTCAAAATCAGCTCCAATGAACTCCCCACCATTGTCACTGCGGATCACCTTCACCTTGTATCCGCATTCCCTCTGAGCTCTAGGCATCCACTCCTTAAGGACAGCCGCTGCCACCTCCCCCTTGCTCTTCAAAGGGTAAACCCACACTGCCCGAGTGTGGTCATCCACAATTGTCAAGAAATAGCGGCTGCCTGAGAGGGAAGGGGCTCTTGTGGGCCCCACCACATCCATGTGCACAAGTGCAAGTGGGGTCTTGGCTGGTCCTGTAGTGCTGTTGAAGGGGAACTTGGAGAACTTGGTCTCCAAGCATGTAGGGCAGCTCCCAATCTCCTTCACTCCCCCTTTCACCTCCAAGCCCTTCAGGCTCCCATCCTTCACCAACTTCTGCAGCATAGGGAAGTTCACATGACACAGCCTCTCATGCCATGTCTCCCAATCGGCCTCTCCACTCCTTGATGAAGCCTTAGCCCATGCCGCACTCGCATCCACACCAGCAAGCACCTCACCATGTGTCTGCTGCTGCTGCACTTTCTTGACTGCTTCCAGGACCCCATCAGTTGGTGCAGTTGCATCTCCTCCTGCTGTTGCCTTTGCCGCTGCTGCCGTTGCTGCTGTTGGAGTCTTCCCATTCCATGGGATGATGGGCAGCTGCCACAGGTCCTTGATGCAGCTGGTCTCCTCTTCCAGACTCCACAGCACCTTCTTCCCAAGCTTAGCACGGCAGCTGGTTGGTCCAAAGGTCACTTCGGCCTTGCTCTTCTGCAGTCGTCGCACAGAGAGAAGGTTAGCAGACAAGCCTTCAACCAGCAGAACATTCCCAAGCCCCACAAGCTCCCCATTAGCTCCCTTAACCTTGGCATTTCCAACACCAATGACAGGGAGCAAAGCACCTGACGCTGCTGCCACATACTTGATCTTCCCAGGGGGTTTTACCTCATCAAGCAAATCTGCCCGTGGGGTCATGTGACTGGTGCAACCTGAATCAATCACCCAGTGCGTGAGAGGGTGCATCACAACCTTTCCCACAGATCCCACATCACCCTCATGCCCATGCACATCCTCAACCATGAGATACATCCCAGGATAGGCGTTACCTTGTGCACCTTCACCTTGTGCACCTGAGCCTTGCACAGCGCCACCTTGTGCGCGTTCACCACTTGGCGGCTTCATGCCTGGAGGTGACCATCCCTCCAGCCTGCTGAAGCACTTGAACCAAGGATGCCCGACCTTCTTGCAGTACCAGCACGTGCCCTCCATTCTGGTACTCCCCCTGCCACTAGAGCTCCCATGCCCCTCATTATAGTCACCTCGGCCTCTACCTCTGCCAAAGCTCCTCCCACGGCCTCGGCCTTTCCAACCCCCTCTTCCTCTGCTGCGCCCTGCAGCTCCATACCCCTCAGCAGTCTTAGTGGCAGCACCGCCTCCCACATGGCGTCTGCGGAAGTCCTCCTGCAGAATCTGCTGCCTTAGCCACTCAGGTGTCCATTGATCTTGCTGAGAGTTGAGGGTGGGGATGAGGTTGTCCCAAGAGTTGTCCAACACCGAGATGATCTTGGTGCACTGCTGCAGCTGAGATACACTGCTGCCCGCTGCTGCCATCCTTGCATAGGTGTCCTTGATCTTGTCAAGGACCGGCTTCACATCGTCCCCTGGTCGCATGGAGATGGCAGCAAGTTCCTTCTCGAGCACGATCACCATCGGGAGAGTGTTGGGCTGAATCACATCGCGTAGTAGTTTCCACGCCCTTGGACCCGAATCATCCGCTTCCACAAGATCCTTGATGTGCTCGAACATCTCCTTGTTGACCGATTGAAGGATGAGGTCGAAAAGCACCGCGCTTTTCTCAATCCACCGTTCGCGTGCTTCGCCTTCTTCCGGCATCTTCTCTTCCCCAACAGCAATCTTCAGGAGCTTGTAGCGTTTGAAGGCACTCCTCATCCGTCCGCTCCATTCCTCATAGTTGGAGCCATCCAAAGCTTCAACTTTTGATGGCGGCGGCTCACTTGTCTTCTCAGCTACAGCTCCTCTTCCATTAGCATCTCCTCCTCTCTCATTCATCTTCTCCTTGAGAAATGACGAATTTCAGCTCCCCTTTGCTGTCCACACTCAGCTCCCTCGATATTTTCACAAGTGTCGGCGTCCACGAAATTTCGGCAGAGTTTCCCCTTAGCGGAAGACACATCCAACCTTTAGAACACCACTTAGGCACACCCACAGGCCATGGTGGGTCTAGAAGGGTCTTCACACTTCTGTAGACTCCTCTCAATGTCCTTAATATCGCTCTGATGCCACTTGTTAGGATTAAGGACAGAGTCTAGGTGAACTTAGGAGCTAGAATTACTCAAAATATAAATCCGAAATTCTGGACAGAAAAGTCGTCTTTACAAGAAACGACGTCGACAAAACACTAGCCGTTGGAATGTCGCGAAACTTGGATATGTTGTAGCTCTTGATCTCAGCTACCGTTCCCAATTTGAATCACGTTGATTGATGAAGTATTCGCGACGCTATGGCTTTCGACGCACTAGGGGGTAAGCTGTAGGAGGAGAACTTAACTCAATCTCAAGAGTTCAATCAAAGTTCAAGAATCTCACAAGGAATTTAGAGGAGCAAGAGAAAGGTTGGGATAGAAGAGAGGGATGAGAGGGAAGGTCCCAAGAGAGTCCCCAACCAAGGAAACCCCATAAGCACAAAGATTCCCTCCCTATAGGAACCCCAACTTTGACATTTGTCCCTTCCCAACCAATCCATCCAAGTTGGCCACCCTTGCCAACCTAGCTTGGTTGTTCCCAACCAATTTGCAGCTGTTACAGTAGAGTGACGAATTTCCCCAACCCCAAAGGTCCCAACTCCATATAAAGTCACCCCACAACTTCACTTTGTAACCGCCGCAATTGTAACGCAAGCTCATGAACTTTGAATCTTCATAGCTTTCGCGTTCTTGCTCCGATTGACGCGATTCTTGTTGCGTCGGAAAGATCTTCTCAAGATCTATCATCACAAATACCTGCTCAGACAGAATAACACAAAACACATTCCCAAACTCCAGAACACACACCACACAAATTCTTTCACACACAGTCAAACCATACGTGCGAATTGAAACAAGGGATGGGAGGCAGACAGAATGTGATAACATATGATGACATCACACAACAGATCTTTCCAGAGACTAAGTCCCAGTTGTAAAAGGAGACTTGAGTAGTGCAACGGAAGTTGAGTAGTTGAACCCTTGCACTAGTCTGTGAGAGCAAGTGATTAATTAAGTGAACAAGCATACAGCAATGTATAGAAAGTAGGAAAGTAAAGCAGTTGTAGAATACAGTTGAAGAGCGGTTATCGAGTCGCACAGCGACTCGATTGTCGCTTCGGTTACCATCCTTGCAGTTGTAACGGTCAGTCGCAACCTCCGGTTGCGACCATTCGAGTCCTTTCGTGTTCTTTGTCCATCCCCTCGTGTAACCTCCGTTGACTCGCGTACTCGTTACGATCTTCCTCGAGTGTGGTATTACACTTCAGAAACGCTTAAGTCCTCGAGATATTTCCAACACTCCCCTTCGTTTCTGGAGTGTTGCCGTGTCCGGATTTGGTAACGTTTATCTGCCCGGTCAGTAGCATGCAGTAATCGAACTTTGCTTTCGCCAGTTTCTTCGTCAGGTAGTCTGCAGCCATTTCTGTCGTGGGGCAGTAACTGAGTTGAAGTCTCCCATTCGTGATTTCATCTTTGACGAAGAAATACCGCAGGGCGATGTGCTTGGTTCGATTGGCGAAGCCGTCCTTGTTCGCCACTCTGATCGCAGATTGGTTGTCGTAGAAGAGTGAGAAGACGGGCAGGGTTGCAATCTTTGCTTCCTCAAGTAACTCTCGCAGGTAAAGTCATTCCTTGGTCGCAGTGCAGAGGGCGATATATTCTGCTTCAGCCGAAGATAGTGCTATTAGTTCCTGTTTGCTCGACTGCCAGGAGATAGTCCCGATAGGCTCTAGTCGGTAGATGTAGCCCGTCCTTGAGCGTCAATTTTCCCTGTCTCCCGCGTGGTCGGTGTCGACGTATCCGAGTAGTTGTACGGACGATGTCGTTGCTTTACTGTAGGTAAGTCCGGTCGTCGGCGTAAAGACGAAGTAGAGTAGTGCCCGATTTAGTTCTTCGAGATCTTCTTGTTCCGGCTGCTTCAGATGCGTCGCCAGTTGGCTCGCGCTGTAAGATAAGTCCGGTCGGCAGGTTACTGCTGCGAATTGTAGGCAGCCGAGCTTCTGCTGATACTCCTAGATTTGCTTCACGGGGAGTTTTGCGGAGGTGTCGTTGTTGTTCCCGTAGCGGTAGGGAGTCGTGACTGTAGTCGGCGTTAGTCCGAATTTCTTCGCGACAACGCCTACGTACTTTCCAGCGTGTAGGTAGAACGCCGAGTTGTCTTCGACGACGTGCAGACCCAGGTACTGGGTCACGGTGTTAGACACCGTGAGTGTCAAGTCACTTCTCAGCTCCCCTTCGAACCAGGTGGCGATGTCGGTAGTGGAGCCGATGTAGAGCAGGTCGTCGGCGTAGACGATGAGTAGGATAAAACCCCTTTCCTTCTGTAGTCGGTACATGCCTTGGTCGTGCAGCAGCTGTAGGAACCCGATTCTGACGAGACGACCGTGAAGATGCTGCTGCCAAAGCCGCGGAGCTTTCTTGATCCCATAAAGGGATTTTATCAGCTGGCATACTTTTGTGGGGTCGTCGATGAATCCGTGGGGCTGTTCGACGAAGATCTCGGCGTCCACAGGTGCGTACAGGAAGGCGTTTGCGACGTCGATCTGGCGCAGTGGTAGTTTCTTCGTGGCCGCGACGGCGAGTAGAATGCGCAAGGAGGTGTGACGGGAGACTGGGGCGAATGTTTCGGTGTAGTCGGTTCCGTATCGTTGATCAAAACCTCGTACGGCCCATCGAGCCTTGAATCGTTCGATGGAGCCGTCCGCATTAGTCTTGATGCGGTACACCCACTTTCCCTAGAGATATTTCCAACACTCCCCTTCGTTTCTGGAGTGTTGCCGTGTCCGGATTTGGTAACGTTTATCTGCCCAGTCAGTAGCATGTGACAGTTTTAGTGTGTGTAAAATGTGACAGGCGGCGAGTCGAGCCTAAAGTGGCCGAAGTGATTGCGGGCTCGGCGCGCAGATGGGCTGGACATTGGTTGCGTCTGGCATAACCTGCCAGTAACTTTGTCGACTCGCCCGAGTCACGAAATATGTAACGGACGTTTGAAAAACGGTCATAAAATCATTTACCTACACATGGTTTTTCGTTATTTATAAACATGGCATTTTTTTCGAACGTTGTTTTTCAACTGCTGCATGATGATTCAACTAGATAAATTGTAATATAAAATATAAGAGCCGCTTATATTACAAAAAAAAACTCAAATATCACCTTGAAGTCAGTACTTGTAGTATTCATCATGAAAACGTTTTTTCGAGAAGTATGCTTGTCTTGAAATGTAACATTGACCTGCAGAGGACTTCAATTTGCTACATGGAAATTGTCGTTTGATTATATGGTGACAGCGGGATTTGAACCCACGTCTTCATTGCACAATGTATGAAGTCTTGTTAGTATCGAATTTGAACATCACAATGCAATGTTGGCGAGAATTGAACACGCGTCTTCTACTCTGTGCTCCGTGCAAAGTATCTTTTGGGAGAGGGCTAAATCTGGGTCAGCAGAGCAGACAATTTCGGAACATTTTCGTTCGAAAATGTCTCTCAACTAGCCCGTAGGTATCTTCTCGGCCAATCTGGGGGCATCGCCACAGAGGGGTCAAGTTTGGGACATTCCCTTATTGGTGATGAAGAAGACATCGAAATGGGAGGAGAAACCCGTTTCAAGGAAGGAGGATCAAACTGACATAATCGCATTCGTGAAAACTATAAAATATCATAAATAATAGGTGTTAATTTGTTTTCCACTACCGCTTAGGGAGATTCCTGCGTCGTGTCATCCTACTATGTTATGTGCAGGAAGACACCAGAGGAAGTCACTTTCTAGGAAGTGCTAGCCTTTAGTGAGACTGGCATCTATGACAGTGACGATGTTTGCAAACGGTAACGAACGAAACAAATTCCGCCAACATGATGCGGGGTGGTTTCGTTCGGAGGATTACAAGTGTCGAGGCGCGTTCCTTACGTGTCTGCGAATTCCAACCTAGCTATCCGAATTTTCGTGAATCGCATAATGACGATGGTTGTTCGTTTGACGGGCAACCATATTTCATGAACGTGTTTGGGGGTCGTTTGTTCATTTGGGCATCGACACGCGACACAAACAGTTGCACAGCCGACGCAATACATGATATTCCGTCAGCTTCAGAAGACACTCCGTCGATCTCGGAAGACACTTGATTTGCCCTATGGTACAATGACACCCGTAGATGACACGACATAGGAGGCCGCCCTCATACGCTAAACCGGAAGTGTAAGGAATTTCCATTCCTTAATGAGTCGTACGCTAGCGCGTACACCCGAACTCCTCGACTCGTCACGTTCGGCCTCATTTGTCGGCCCAACCCTTTCCCGAGTCGCGTCCGGCACTGTCGCCACATTGTCGAACCTACCCACGTTCCGAGGTTATCGCCCTAGCATGCGAACCCCTATATAACCTCCTGCCTTCATTGCAATAGCGACCTTGGATTCTCATGTTATATTTCATTGACACTTCCTATATCATAACAGCTGGTATTACAGCCACCTTCCATGAACCTTCCGTTCTCCCGTTTACTTAGTTAAGGGTGGTCAGAGGGGATGAGCACGGCTGCATAGCAGTTGTCTTGGATCGTAAATATTTTTACGTCAACAACTACAGCGTATACGCTAGCTCTTGCCCCGTCCTGACCGCCATGGCCCCGGTAGACTCGACGGTTGAGGGACAGTCCACCTCGACTGCTGCGAACCCTGCGTGGGAAAATGTGGACCTGCAAACATTGATGGAGCAGTTGAAGACTTTGACAAGCGTCGTCAACGAACTCCGTGACGAGAACCAGCGACTTCGCCAGGCGCAGGAGAAGCGTCCAGAGGAGCCGAGTGATGATGCACGAAGTGAGGCGGGTGAGCAGCAACCGTCGCCAGTGGAGCTGGCACGACTAGCAGCAACATCCCCGCGCTCGACAAGTGGCCGCGTAAGATACCAGCAACTCGTTCCTTTCGACCCAGCTAATAAAGACGTGACAGTGCAGCAGTGGATATTTGCCATGAATATATATTTTACGCGGCGGGCATCTGAGACAATTAGAAGCAAATCAGCCACACGTTAACACTGTTGCAAGGGGCCGCCCTATAGTGGTGGAAGGTCATCGTCGACTCAGCAGCAAATCGCACAGAAGGACAGCACGAGTGGTCCGAAGAATTCGAAGACGAAGACGAGGTGGACTTGTTGTTCGGTGCGACCCACATTTGCACGTGGGCAATGTGGTGCGTAGAGCTTTGCAAGCGGTTTGAGCATGCTACTGACTCAGACAAGGCACGCGAAACTCTACGCATGTGGAAGCAGCTGGGATTTGTGTCCGAATATACGGCGTCGTTCCTGACGTTGGTGGACAAATGTGGCTACATGCACGAGTTGGAGAAGGTCGACAGGTACATGGGCGGCTTGAAGCCCGAAGTACAGTACCAGATAAAACTGCAACGTGTTGCAAAGCGGTTACAACACTACATACAGCTCGCCCAAGCCGCTGATTCGATCACGAAGCTGAGGACGAACGTCTACGATGGAGGTCGCCCTCGAGAACAGTACCAGTGCGCCACGATAATAGGGGTGAACATAGTGGGTATTTTCGCAGTTGCTCCGTGAAATACGGGGCTACGCTACCAGTGTGGCCAGCCGGGTCACATCCGACGCAACTGCAAAGAATTCATTGCCATCCAGAATTCTATGGGGAAGAAGCCGGAGGAGCGACCGGGAAATGGGTCACGGACTCTCGCCAAGCCGATCTGAGGACCACCGAATCGAGTTGGAACCAGGCGCCCAACCGACGGTACAGCGCCAATTTCAGCTCAGCCAATCAGAACAGGAAGAATTACAACAGCAGCTGGATTACCTTCTCACGAAAGGATTTATCCGGCCTAGCACGTCACCATACGCCACCCCGATACTGTTCACGCTGAAGAAGGATGGAGGATTCCGAATGTGTATCGACTACCGCGCGCTCAACCGGATCACCATCAAGTCGCGTTACCCGATCCCGCGAGCCGACGAACTTCTCGACCAACTTCGCGGTGCCAAGTTTTTCTCGAAAATCGACTTGCGAAGAGGTTACCATTAGATTCGCGTCGCCGCTGAAGATTGTCACAAGACGGCATTTCAAATCCGCTATGGCAACTACGAGCACCTGGTGATGTCACGAACGCCCCCTCGACCTTCCAAATAACCATGAATGGAATTTTCAGGGAACTCTTGGACAAATGCGTCATCATCTACCTTGACGATATACTAGTGTATAGCCATAGCAGGGAGCAGCACTTACAGGATCTTGGTGCGGTCTTCGCGCTGCCGCACAAGAATTGCCTCATCACCAAAGGGTCTAAGTGCGACTTTCTTAAACATGAGCTGGAATTTCTGGGCCACATCGTCTCTACCGAAGGGGTTAAAATCGACCCCAAGAAAATCAAGACCATACAGGAATGGAAGTCGCCAAGCAACATCAAGGAACTCAGAGTTTTTTGGGATTCATCAATTACGTCTGCCGGTTCATCCCCGATATGGCTGGGTTATCTGCCCCGCTAACTGACCGACTCAAGGATCACGATAGCTTTTGGTGGGGAGAGAAGTAGCAGGCCGCATTTGACCAACTAAAGATCGCCCTCACGTCGTCACTCGTCCTTCGCATCTCCAATCCTGACCATCCATACGAAGTCATCACCGACGCCAGCGACATCGCCATCGGTGTAGTTCTTCTACAAGATTTCGGCGACGGATTACAGCCGGTCGCCTACGAATCACGGAAGCTGCAGGGCGCAGAGAAAAAATATAAAGTACACGACAAGGAAATGTTGGCAATCGTCCATGCGTTCAAGACCTGGCGGTGCTACCTGACAGGTGCTAACGTCATTGTGTGGACCGACCACAAATCCCTCTAGTACCTACGAGCCCAACCGAACCTCAATCCGCGACAGATTCGATGGCTCGATTTCCTCTAGTCAAACTTCCACTACACCATCACCCACAAGCGGGGCGCCAACAACATTGCTGATGCCCCGACCCGACCCACTGCCCACACAGCCGTCATACTAGTTGCCCAGACCAGCCCACTCCTTACCAGACTATTTACCCACGGCTACAAGATCAACCCATTCTTCCGCTCCGCCATTCACCAACAGCATACTACCGCCACCGGACATTATTTCAACAAACGCGACACTTCCCGCATCTGGGTTCCCGGCTACGATTTACTTCGTACCCTCCTTATCCAGGAATCCCACGACAATCCTACCTCCGAGCATTTCGGAGTCGACAAAACCATTAAGGCATTGCAGCGCAATTATTACTGGTCGAACATGGCCAACAACGTGCGCAAGTACGTGTCCTCCTGCACCGCCTACCAGATCATGAAATCATCCCATCAGCGAGCAGCCGGAATCCTACAGCCGTTGGATCCGCCCGAGAGACCCTGGAAACACATCACGATGGACTGCGTGACAGGACTGCCGGCCGGTCCCAGCGGAAACGACGCCATCCTCGTGGTCGTTGACCGACTCACAAAAATGGTGCACTTCATCGCTGGCCAGCAGAAATTACAGCCAAGCAAACTGCCCAACAGTTCATCGCCAACGTCATCAGACTGCACGGACTGCCGACCGCAATTATTTCAGACTCAAATCCGAAATTCACATCGAATTTTTGGCGCCACCTGTGGGAACAATTCGGCACCAAACTACAGTTTTCCTCAGCCTACCACCCACAGACCCACGGGCAGACCGAACGAGTCAACCAAACTATGGAGCAACTCATTCGTACTACATGCGTTGACCCACAGACAAGGGAGAAATCCCTTCCGCCGCTGGAATTCGCGTATAATAACGCGCCTTCCGCCACAACCCATCAATCCCATTTTTCCTCAATTACAGACAGGACCTCGTGGTACCCTCTATACCAAACATCGAGGCACCCGTGCCCCGGTCCCAGCGATTTGCCGAAGACATCCTCGCAGCCCGGAAAAAAGAAGCTGAGGCGATCCGGAAGCCGACAAGCCTATCGTCATTGACGTGACGTCACTTACAAAGTGGGAGATCTCGTACTACTCAACACCCGCAATTTGCGTCTGCCGATCCCGAGCAAACTCCGACCCCGATTCTGTGGCCCCTTTCAAGTGACCAATATGGTGACACCTGTCACCGCTCACCTCCGACTACCGGCGGATTGGCGTCACCACCCAGCTTTCCACGTCAGCCTACTACGACCCTACGCCCCCAGTTCGTTGGATTTGGCACGTCAACGCATCGTACCGCAGGTGACGCCCCTGCATGAACCGACGACCGAGCCCCTGAAGATTCTCGACCATCGAGTCATAACACAGCAGAACCGTCGAATGGTGGATTTTCTCGTCCGATGGCGCGATCGGACGTCTGAAGGTGACAGCTGGGTGCCCCTCGCTGATATAGAATCACACCTGATTCTAACACCGTATTATCAACGTCGGAATGTTTCTGATGCTCGCGGCCTCGTTTAGGAGGGGGGTGATGTAAGGAATTTCCATTCCTGACTGAGTCGTACGCTACCGCGTACATCCGAACTCCTAGACTCATCACGTTCGGCCTCAATTGTCGGCCCAACTTTTTCCGAGTCGCGTCCGGCACTGTTACCACATTGCCGAACCTACCCACGTTCCGAGGTTATCGCCCTTGCATGCCAACCCCTATATAACATCGTGCCTTCATTGCAATAGTGACCTTGGATTCTCATGTTATATTTCATTGACACTTCCTATATCATAACATGAAGCTTCTCCCAACCGAACGTTGGGGTAGCGTGCAGGGCTGTCAGTTCAAGGGTAAACATCCGGAATGTCAGGTGCATTCCTGGTCTTTCCCGCTGAAATCCTGATTTTGAGGGTTTCAGGCTCAAGAACATCATGACTGATTCCGGGCTTTTCCAAGGAACTCCCTGAGCAATCCGGATTGCGTGAAAATTTATCCTGGCCGTCTGAATAGCATGTAAACTACCCGTGCTGGAATTGCAACCCTACCCTCTCCCCTTCCCCCCCCCCCCCCCCCCCCCCCTCATTCATTCGCACCCCTGACCAATTTTCCACGCAATCTGAAGGTGCGACCCGTGGAACTTTCACAATTACAGAAGTGCAGGGCTCTCAGACTATCACAACCCTTTAAGGTCACCTTAGCCAGGTTTTGCACTGTCCCTCTAAGTTGTATGCATTTCTGTCGTGATTAAGGAAAGTGTCGAACTTGGTGTGGTGGTGAGGGACAGCAGCAGCAGCAAGGGTGTGTTCTGTATTCTTCATCATTTCTTCCATAGATGTCCTTCGTGCTTGTGCTTGAAGTGCCCACAGGTTCCGCAGATATGTAGGGAGTCCCAAAAAACACTCTGAATTTCATATTGAAATGTATAAGTAATCCTCAAATAAAAAGATATTTTCCACGGAATGCTGAATTTTCAGGGTCTTTAGTGACGCGAATCTTGAGACCACTGGGTCTTGAAAAACGAAAAAGTAGCCCTGGTCGCGTGGCGTGCCCGCAAGTCAGGACTAGGGCTTCAGAATGGTTTTTTTTTGTCAGTCGTCAGATCTGGGTTCACTACCGAAGCCGCCCGTTGAAGTCCGTTCTCGGCCAGAATCACAGCCATCAGCATCCATTTTCGGCCTAAACTCCCGCTTACAGCCCGTATTCAAGCCAAAATCAATCCGCTAACCAAAGGGTTTGGAGATAACCGAATCTGTCAAATGGGGAATTGGGGTCGAATCGAGCCGTTGAAGTATCAAATATGGGTCATTCCCGTCAAACATAGGCCCTGGTCAAGACCCTGCCGAGTGTCTCCATTTTCCTTTTTGTTTTTTGTTTTTTTTTTCCCGCACATACGGAATTACTCGCGACCTGGGATCCGTACTAACAGTCTTGTCCCCCCAGCGAATTCCATGCCGTCACTGTGTCCCCCAATTCCCCGAACCAACCGACCAGCCGCCTTCCTTCCAGGGCTAGCTTTGGCGGGCCTCCAAAACATGCACCTATGATCTGTGCGGCACGCAAGTGTGGGTCATGTGACACACTGCCCCCTGTCTTGCCCCCAGCGTTCAGCCCAGTCAGCCCCGCCGATCGCGGAGCGCACAGGCGAACTTAGAATTATTTAGTGCAGCTGCTCCCAATAAGCTGCATCATTGAATTCCGATTCCGAATAACTTACTCCGCACAGAGCCTACTTCTGCTCTCTGACTCTTCGCGTACAACTTGAACTCAGCGCGTCGATCAGCCAGCCACATTTCCCGAAGTTCAGGTCGCAGCGCCGCGTAGTCTCTCTCCTCGCGACCAGACGATGACGAACGCAGCAGCACTAGTCGCCGTGCTCCCGATCGTCCTGTTCCTTCTCTTACCATCGCAACCCGCAGCCATCTGCGCATCCGCCGAATCCACCAACAGTTTATCAGACGCATTCGCTACCGGCGTGGCTTCGCCCTTGGGAAAGGAACTTTCGTCCGCGGGACTCACGGGGTTCGCGAGCCTTCTCAGGCACGCCGGGCTGATGCCTGAGCTCGACCTACGCGCGCGGACCGGCTCCGTCATGACCGTGTTCGCGCCGACCAACAACGCGCTCATGCGCGCGGACCCCGCGCTACTCGCGTTCCTCAAGCTTCCGCGCAACGGCGCGCTGCTCCGCGACATTCTGCTGTTCCACGTGGTAGCGCGGCCGATCTCCGCGTTCGCCTGGGAGGGCACGCAAGCGACGCTGCAGGGCGCTCCGATCGCGCTCCACGTGGACTCGCTCGCGTTCCAGGTGGGCGGAACCACCGTGAAGCAGTATCGCGCACTCACGCTCTCCCTGGATCTCCTCAGCGAAGGGCCCCTCTCCGGGGAAGGCGCGGATTTCGCGCGAAGAAGTGGCTTGGAGCTCGGCGAGAGCGGCACGGTGGGCACGGTCGTGGTTCACACGATCAACGCGCTTCTCGTGCCGCCTTTCCTCGACGACGCGCTCTCGCTCACCACCGGTGATCTCTATATCGTCGCCGCAACGGACAGCAATGGACGGAAACTCGCGGAATTGGGGTCCGCTACACCCACGCCCGCGTCAGCTCCGAGCTCGACGCCCCCCCCGCCGCCGGTCCAGCCTTCCCCTCCTCCGCCAGTTGCTGCCTCCCCTCCGCCCCCAAGAGCGGTGCGCCGGGTGTTTATGCGTTGAGCTTACGGCGGCTGGCTCCTTCTATGGCGGTCGCTCTGGTCGCCATCGTGGCATTGTTGTGAGGGGCATCGAAGGGAAATCTACTGAGGTTGTGGTGTTAGGCATAACTTATAGCGTGCATTATTAGTGCACAAACTAGATGATTGGTATATTTTTTGTTCAACCTAAACTGCTCGTTTACACGAAGTACGAAGGCTTGTTCGGAAAATGTACGACACAAAACATATTCAGCCAGGACAAAGCGTGAACAACTCGTAACACCATGGTCTTATAGCGGGAACAAGATTCCCTAGAGATTGTAAGTCGAGCTGCTCTCCAAGCTCAGTTCCACCGCAATTTATGCTGTGTTATCTTTTTTTGCCACTTACCCCCACACTCCCTGAACGTCCTCGTTTGATTCACCTGCTAATTCAGCGTTAGATACAAGTTGTTTGCGTACGGTCCTATCTCATCTGCTGCTCTATTTCACTTGAGACCATATATAGCTTGCTCCTTCCGCGATGTATCGATGTAGAGTATTCGAGGAAGTGCATGTCAAACATAGTTAGGTAGGTATGGATGTTGTGAACTGAGCTAGCAAGAAAAGAGGAGGCCGCCATGAAATGGCGGCCGAGGATTAGGTAGGGAGATTGACGAGAGAGAAGGAAGGCAATTAGGAAGAGAGAGGGGTACAAGGAGGGGATTGTACCCTCTACAGTAAGGTTCAGTAACAACTACCAAGCCTATCAATTATATACAACTTATATAATTTTAACACACCCCCTAGGCTTGGTAGGCACACACCCCCACACCCAACACCCACACACCCCCTAATCCCGTACACCCTCATGCTTGTGAGCAGGCCTCAGGATATCAGGGTAAAATACCCTTACGGCCCTTATAATAAGGGTGGGGTAGCTGTTGGACCCTTATTTTTAAAAGTGGTTTAGTTTTTGACCCTTATGAAAAAAACTAGATCTATACGGGACCCTGTTTTTTCAAAGTGGTCGAGTGTAGGGACCCTGATGCGGAAAAGTGTTGTGTAAAATCACCCTTACACAATCACACATGCGATCCCCCCCTGAAATATTTTATCCCCTTGGCAACCTGTAGATTTCGGCTAAGTCCCCCCAATCCGAGAGTCATTCCTCCTATACCCCCCGCAACCCAAGATTTCGGCTAAGTCCCCCACTGCCTAAGGCATTCCTCCCACAGCCCTCGAGCGACCCCGAAAAATTGGTGAAGTCCCCCACTCGCAGAGACAAAGCCGCTGTAGTACCTTCGCAACCCGGAGGATTCGGCTAAGTCCCCCAGTTCCAAGTGTGTTCCAGTCAGACTCGGGGGAATAACTACTTTGAAATTACAGGGTAGCCTGAAACGAAAACAAAGCCCTGGACGTGATATGTCAAATTTTCTCTTCCCCCCTACCCACTTCGGCGAGGGAATCTCGGCGACTTGAATTGAAGTTTCCACGGGTTTTTACCTGGCCCCTGCCCGCGCACGACGGGGATTCAAGTCGTCAATTTCTTCTGCTAATGGTTTACGTTTTTTTTGCTGCCACTCACCCAAGAATTCATGCGCACGGTTACAAAACTTGCCGACTTGAATGTATCATTCGTGTTGGTAGAGTCGTATCGGCCACTACATTAGCTAAAGAAATAAAGAAAAAAAAAAAAAACAAAAAACAAAAAAAAAACAAAAACAAAAAACAAAAAACGAGTGCGGCACCAACGGGAAATGAGGTCGCGACCAGGAAGGGTCTAGGGAATGAGGTCGTATTTCTACAAGACAGTAATCACTACCAGCAAACCCGGAATGGACTCTGAAACGCGAAACGGTGAGGTCCGAGGGTCAAAACGCGAATTCCTGTTCGTTCGATTTGGTACTTCGCGAAGTTTGGTTCTCTGGTACTGAAAGCACTAATGTAGAAATACGCACTAACAGCAAAATTACCGAGGTGCGACATTCCCCCCACTTCAGCGCTAACAAACAAAAACAAAAATCTTGGTGCACCCTGTCGAGTGCCACCCAAGGCACGTCGTCACAAATCTGCAACACGTCAGTCGTCTGATCACGCGAGATCCTGTACCTACAGTAAAGTGTAAGGCTGCGCTGGAGTTATACCCTTATGTGAAAAAGTACAAATATTTAGGACCCTTATATTACAAAGTAGCTTTTAAATATACCCTTACAGAAAAAGTGGCAGCAAGCGAGTACCCTTACAAGAAAGAGTACTTCTAATCCTATCCAGAGGCCTGCTTGTGAGCAGCCGGGTATCTAACCCTCGTGCTAGGCGATGACACCCCGCGTTTGGGCGGCTTCAGCGACGACAGCGGCGGAGCACATGCTCAAGGCGGCTGCGTCGAGGAAGGCAGGCGGCGACTGCGGCGGCTGAGGGCTCTCGCGCTGTGGCACGACCCGACGACGACTGAGCAGAAGACAGCAGCTGCAGCTGCAGCAGGAGCAGGAGGAGACGCAGGGGAGGGAGAGGTGGTGGGGCTGCAGGACTTCAGTGCAGCGCCATTGCTGGCGCGGCGCTTACTGGCGAGCGGGTGGGCTGCACGTGCAACGGCTGCGGAGGTGATACGCAGCGGCTGCGGCTCGACGACGCCGCCGCGCGCACCATTACGACGCCGCCACAGCGTAGCGTCGGTGCCGCGGCTGCTCGTCGAAGCTGGGACGACAAGACTAAAAGGCTGCCGTGGCATCACAGAAAAGATGTGACGGCGGCAGCAGGCGGAAAGCCGCAACGGCAGCGAAGTAACAATGAGAACGCAACGGAAGCGTAATGAGCAGGCCCGGGACAGGCGGCCTGCTCTGTTGCCATGTTGTGAACTGAGCTAGCAAGAAAAGAGAAGGCCGCCATGAAATGGCGGGCCGAGGATTAGCTAGGGAGATTGACGAGAGAGAAGGAAGGCGATTAGGAAGAGAGGGGGGTACAAGGAGGGGATTGTACCCTCTACAATAAGGTTCAGTAACAACTACCAGCCTATCATTATATATGACTTATATAATTTTAACAATGGAAGCCATGGAATGGCGTCAAGTTTTAGGATAGGGAAAAATATCGAGAAAGAAGAGATGGAATAGAAAGAGAGAGGGATACAATCATATAATACAAGAAGAAATTGAACAAGAGAGAACAAGCAAGATATAGGGTTCGGTTGTACTCTTAAGAACATACACCCATTTTAGCCTATAACTTCTACATGTCGAATCTACGTATAAGTTGACACACCCCCTAGGCTACATAAGGGTAGTGGTGAGCAAGAAGCACACAGCTCAGGGTGGCACTATTAGTCCCAACCTTGAGACAGGGTTCCGAAGACAGACAGTAAAATACAACAGATAGGCGCAAGCCAGGGCGGCACTACAAGTCCAGCCACTAGAAGAGCAGCTACAAGGCCAGTGTGAAACATATATATAAAGAGGAGTACACAATCAAGGTCCTAACAAGTGAGAGTCTATACGAACTAGACCAAGCTGCAAGCAAAGCCACTGATGATCTTAAGGTGCAAGCGCCTTAGTAAAGATATCAGCTGTGTTGGCACCAGAGGCAAGTGTACTACGCAGGCTGGCGGCGCTGTTGTAGCTCACGCATGAGGAAGTACCGCAGCTGGATGTGCTTCACTCTGCCCTCAAGTCGAGGCTCCTGACACAGGAGGATCATGGCCCTTTTGTCAGCAAGACTGTGCAACAGACGACGAGCGAATGGACCTCACGAAATGCACCCGAAGCAAGGCTAAAGTAGTAGCCTAAGGAGGACACGAGGGTCTCATAGTTGTCTGCCCAAGAAGCATCTGTGTGCCCAATAAGGACTACCGGCATGTGTCCTCGTAGGCCTAGCCCCATGCACGATGTACTTACTAGATAACGCAAAACCCTCTTAGCGGCCGACGAGTGCTGTGGTCGGTGTCTGCCTGTGGCACAAGCGAGCCAGGATGCTGAGAGGGTATGTGAGATCATGATGAGTGCAATTCATCAGGTACATGAGGCAACCCACCAGCTCCGCGTAAGGACTACTAGGCTCTACTAACTCCTCATGAACTAGAGCAGAGAGCATGTCGTCTACTGGCAGAGGTGTGGGCTGTGCGGAGGAGAACTGAAGACCGAACCTTTGAAGGACCTGGCGCACCAAGTGTGACTGTGTGAGAGTGATGGAGCGCGCTGCTCTGTCCCTGGAGACATGCAGGCCAAGGTAGCGGCGCAGCTCTCCTAGGTCAGTGCAGGTGTGTCTCCTTAGCAGCTCGGCCTTCACGGAGGCAGCGCATCTTTGTCTGCAGTAGCGAATGCCACATCTTCTACGTAGACAAGGATGTAGAACGGATTCTGGCCACCACGAACGAAGAGTGAATGGTCTGCAGAGACGGAAAGAACTGCAGGCTGCTAGTGTAGCACGTAGCGTGTCGTGCCACTCACGGGACGCCTGTCGCAGGCCGTAGACGGAGCGACAGATGAGCCACTGGGTACAAGGAGGGAAGGTACGGTGAAGCCCTGAGGTCGGCGCAGGTAGACCTGCTCGTGTAGGCTGCCTTGAAGAAAAACAGTGGAGAAGTCTAGGGAGTGGGAGCTTGTAGTCAAGCTATGTTGCTACGTGTAGCAGTGCCCAAAAAGTAGTCATCTTCGGGGTCGGGGCGAAGGTCTGAAAGAAGTCCACCCCCTCTCACTGATTGAAGCCTCTAGCCATGTAGCGCCCTTGAACACATGCTGCTCTCCAGGGGGCGCTTCACCTTGAAGAGCCATCGGCCATCGACGACATTCACCCCAGGTGGGGAACTACATCGACGTAGGTGCCGGTGGATCTTCAAGATGCCATCTCCTGCTCCATGGCACCTATACACTGAGAGGCCCAGGGTCCGAGGTGGCCTCAGCGTAAGTGCGAGGGGTCGGGATATCGAAGACGTTTGGGTCACCCTCAGGGACTAGCAGCATAGAGCATTGATGGGGAGCAGCCTCAAAGAGGAAACAAAGCTCGTACTGCCTATCCTCTAGGACGTCGCTGCAAAGGGCAGGCGCACCCCTGACGGATGGAGGACAAACAGGGTCAGAGACTTGAGTGGTGGTGTATTCAAGGCGGTGGGTAGAGGCGAAGTCATCGACAACACTGAGAAGAGCGTCTAGACTCGAGACAGGAACAAGTGGGTCGGTAAAGAAGGAGGCAAGGACCCGAGGAACAAGAGGAAGCAGCATGAAGGTAGTCAGACAGAGGGGGAGGTGTGATAGTGAGCGACGACGGAGGAGGCGACAGGAGAACGGGAGGACGAGACACGTGGAACGATGCAACATAGGGTGAGAACGTTGAACAGGAGAGAGACATGACGAGCACGAGAGGGACGGCGAGACCAGACGTGAGATGGAGGGGTTTGGTCGGAAGACAGAGGAGGAGACACAAGTGGGGAATGAGGGGGAAGATGAGCCGGAGACGAGTCCGGCGGAGGGAACACAGGGCGTAGACAGGAAGGGGAGGAGGCGGCGGGGAAGGCGCAGGCGAGCGGCGTCAGGGAAGGAAGGCCGAGCAGGCGAAGGGCAGATATCGGCGGCGATTGCTGCTGCTATTGCTCGACGCCGATAGAGGGACTGCCAGCTGCACCACGGCCACCTCCGAAACACTCCACTCCAGCACCACCAGAATGAGCACCCCCAGAGCAAGAAATCTCTCCAGTACTGGTGCCACCCCCAGGCCCAATGGGACCAGCCACGATAGGAACCCCAGGACTAACACCCACCTCAAAGCCAGCACCCCCAGAGTCTACGAACGGCTGCTGCTGCTGGAACGGCGGTGTCTGCTGCAGCTGCGGCTGCTGCGGCGGCTGCTGCGATGGCGGAGGAGGCCCCGTCATGCGGCGTGACGCTATCACGTGGCGTGACGGGGCCAGCGTGGTCTAGCGGGGCCGGCGTGGCGTGACAGGGCCAGTGTGGAGTGACAGGGTTGGCGTGTCGTGACGGGGCCGGCATGGCGTGACGGGGCCGGCGCAGCGTGACGGGCCGGCGCCTCGTGACAGGGCCGGCCCGGTGTGACGGGGTGGGCAAGGAGTGATGGGGCCGACGCGGCGTGACGGAGCTAACGCGGCTTGACAAGGCCGACGCGGCTTGACGGGGCCGGCGTGGTGTAGCGGGGCCGGCGCGGCGTTACGGGGCCGGCTCGGCGTGACGGGGCCGGCGCCGTTTAGCGGGGCCGTTGCGGCAGGACGGGGTCGGCGCGGTGTGATGGGGCCCGCGCAGTCTAGCGGGCACTGTTAGAATAACGCAATGAAATAGATTGAGCCATACAGGGAGGTTTTGTGCTATGGTGTTGTAC